GGCAATATAATGACATTTAGACATGATGAGGATTGTAAAGGAAATTTTAGTAACTAAATATTTTTAAATGTTTTCACACCTAATACACCCAGTGTATGTGACATGGCTTCACAGATGAGGAGCATTAAGTAATGCATCACTCACCCTACAGTAATGTAACAGAATGTAAACAATGACAACACATGTTTATCCTCATCCACTCTGACATTAAATTCAGTCTAACTGTGGCTTCACTGTTTCTGACATTGACATCTTTCTGATAAAGCAGACTGGTAACTATGGAAGTAACACATCTGTACACATCTGTAGAAGTGTATCTTACCATCTATGTCAACCAAACAGATTGCGATACCTTTGCAAAAAAGGAAATGTTTGCTTTCATCCTCCATGTAGTGTTTTAGAATATTTGTCCTTGAACCTTTTTTGAAGAAAAACTTTTGATGAAACTACTTCATTGAGTATTCATGAAATTCAACTCGCCTGCCAATGGCAAGACACCCACAGGGCCATTATCAGTCTGCATCACACACACACAAACACACACAAATGCACTGGTAGCTGTCAGACACTGAGGGGTGTGTGTCAATGCACAGATGAGCTTGTGCGCAAGCAAGTCAGTGTATGTGAGGAGCCAATCATGAAGGTTCAGAAGTGCGTGTGGTTTGAAGACAATAACTGAAACCTCATCATCAAATATGATTTGCCTGTAGGCCTAATCCTTAAAAGTGACACTAATTTGTGTACATTTAACAAAATACACACAATCTTAGCCCCAAGACTCTGAGCACTGGCTGCATGCCATATCACATTACTAGAATGTTCCAACGCCCCCATAGTGTTGTCACAAACTAGAGGAAACAGTTGTCACTGGCTTAGTCATGGCGATTACACTTGCAGAGCTCCTGCTTCGGCTCTCCTTAAAAGCTCATTGCTCTGAGAAAGTCATTGTCATCCACTTGTCGCACGCACGATTGAGCTCATCAAATCAAATGCCTTTTCTTCTTCTGTTCTCTTGGGCAATCCCTACATAATAACTACATGTATGTTTTCCACTTTTGCGACTCAATCCACTTTCCCATTCCTGACCTTTCTATTTTTCCCTTTCTGCATTCACTCATTTGCTCTTTGTAAGAAGTGGAATTTCAATGAGGGAACTGTTCTCAGTAAATGAGCGTTCATTTTATTGTTCATGACACAAGAATCTAAATGTGTTTGTCAATAGATAAAATTAAATCCGCACCCATGCTTTTCTTTCGGCTTTGGTACAGTAATGCTGAGATTTTTCAAAAGTGGCAAATTATCGGATTACTTTTATCCCGTGATTGTAATATCAGCTATGAAAGCTATTGCACACATACTACATTTGTACCACAAGGAAATAATGGCTGCTTTGGTGTGTGCGTCCTTGCTTGTGGGCATTTATTTATGTGTGTGTGTATGTGCGATTGCATTTGAGTACTCGGCACTAGACAAAATTATGGCATGTTTTCTCATTTTCCAGTCCAGTACTGTCAGTAATGTGAGAGTATGGCTAAACCCCCGGAGTCTCACATCATAGAATCAAACTCTGCCAGTTATGCACTCTGATACACACACACTTTCACACCTTATCTGCATAAGAATTCAGAAAAGAAAAACACAAACACACACACACACACACACACACACACACACACACACCTGCTTTTAGTATGAATATCAAATGCAAAATATAAGTTTGCATTTATTTTTGCTGAATTTGACTGTGTGCGCTGAGTGCAGCAATTTCCCCCCCTGATCTAATCACAGTGTCCTGGCAGATCACTTGAACACTTTCTATCAGCAATTAGAATATGATTATATTTTCCTCTCAGTGGGACTTCTGAGTCGCTGCATAATTTCAGTCTGTCACTTTGGTCAGAGAGGTAGACGGCCGTTCTGTGGAACCTGAAGTAGTAAGTCAAATCCTCTTGCATACAGAGGGTAAAACCAACAGTCTGCTGTAACCGTGCACATGTAAATTACAGCACAGCGCAATGATGTGGGTGGGTGTGTGTTGTGTGTGTGTGTTAGAAAACCCACTCACACTTGGCCAGGTGAGTGCCCAGTCGTCCGGGTAAGGAGCGGCTGTTGGAGTGGATTGGCATGCAAGTCAGGCCACTGAAGCTGACAAACCAATTTACAGGCATGATGCCCACACTGAGAGTACCGTTGCACATTCCCCTACAGTAGGTGTGTAATCCGCAAAATAAAGTGATTAGAAATCGAAACTTAAAGGCACAGTTAATTTCATGCTGACTAATCTTTCTCGAGTAACCTTGAATTTAAAGTATGACGTATACGTTTTTTTTTCTTTTGAGTCGCACTGCACTCACACTTTTCTCCAGATCCACAATTAAATAGATCATGTAAGCTGGATGTAATCAGCAGTAGTTTTTGTCCATTTCATCTCCCTCCCTTTCTCCACCTTTTGGCCTCAATCCAGGCTAATTACCCCAGGGCGCTGCTCTCTCTGCTGGCCTGCCTCCCATTTCTACGCCCCCCTCTGTGCACTCTCTGTAGCTTCCCTCCTCTCCATTCCAGGCTAGGTACATGGCAATAATAGAGCAGTGAGTGGGGTGCAGGGAACACAGGCATGGGTTAATCTTTTGACCTCAGCCGTTGTGCACTGTCGACTCACCATCTGACCATGTTTCTCTGTAGTCTGGACCTCAGCTATTACTATAAACTATCTGAAGAAAGTCATTTTTAATCCCTCGAACTGCAACTCAAGGTTCATACTGTGCCCTACTTAGAAATAATTACTGTGATAACACGATGTGAATTCAGCAGTGGTGTTTTTCTAATTGATTTGAAATCTTTAGTTCCACTGCTTGTATGTTTAATGATATTGATGTCATTTTATTTTTATTTTACCTAGGTAGCAATAATCGTCTTAACGAGTAGTTGTTCTATGTTTTTTATTTACATTACGTGTCACCTGTTAGACTATTTTACCCGAAGCGACTCACTCACTGACTGAGCCACAGCCTCCCTTATTTATTATTAATATTATTAATTTATTTGTTTTAACCCATAAATACAGTGGCCGGCAGGTGCAAACACGCACCTGCCATTAGGAGAAACGCGTTTCAAGTTTAACAAATTACGCAAATATAAACACAAATGTGCCAAAACGAAGAAAAATCATCACCAACTTGACAACACACGCGCAGCATTTAGGAAACATTCTCCTAATTGACGCAACTTGTGCAGGATTTACTTAACGCGCTGCTGAAACAAAATGCAAATACATAATGCTGCAAATAATGAACGCTGCAAAAAGCGGAAACCACAGGATACTAAAAACCATTTAGCAGTGGACAATTTGTATTCGTATTGTTTCATTTATACAGGATTTTAGTAAACGCTTCACATGTTTTGTCATTTGGTGAATGTTTAATTAAATGCTGCACATGTGTTGTCAAGTTGGTACAGAGGTTTCGTCATTTGCATGCATTTTGGAAAATTTGTTCCATACATTTTGGAAACTGCAGCACTTTTTTCCCTATGGAAATGTTTTGTGCTGTTTTAGCGGGTTTGCACCTGTCGGCCACCACATAACACTCCCAGTCCGTATTCTCACCTAGACAACCTGGTATTTGTTATTTTTTAAATAAATTCATATATTTCTTTACTTTGACATAGACAGGGAATGAGTTCGCTGAGTATGTTTTCTCTTTTACCTCTCCGGAGATGCATCCTGTGTGAGAGCACTGAGGAGTTCCTGTGCTGTCCGCTGCTGAGAGCAGTCTATATTAGAAAGGCACACATGTATAAGTTCCAGGTGGTGCAGCCCTCTGATACAGCTCTGTCTGCTCCATTGTTTGCTCCACTGAGCAGATCGCTCCGATAACATTCACATGTATGAACTGCCACTATCTCCAGATTGCACGGGGGCTTCTTTAGGTCTCATACAACGCATGTGGCAGGCACAGAGAATCCCAATGAAGCTGTGAAGGCATTCAGTGTTTTGGAATGAAAGGTGATTCATTTTGACCGAGATGCTGTGTGTGTGTGAAGTGAGTAGGAAACAGCGGTAGTAAATTAGAGAGGTGAAGTTGATTGGGTGCATTTTTGCTTGTTGTCTCCATCTGCTGGGTGCAATTAGCAGCCAACAGCCACAAGTTGCCTGACAGAGAGAGAAAGCCAGACTGAGCGTGTCAAAGAAGAGTGTTAGAGTGATGGCAAAGTTAATGAGAAGAAGTTTAATTTTAAAAAGAAGAGAGGGAATAAGAAATATGAGAAGAGGACTTGAGTGGGTCTCAGTCTAATAATTGAAGTGAATAGAGAACACGAGGCACATTTAAACTTGTTAATGAGAACAGTGTCAAGTTCATCATTTCAAACGCCCCTCTTTGAAGAAGTGCATAGACTATAACAAAGTTAATGCAATGATCAGCCCAGTGAAGTAATGGAGTTCAGGAGAAATGTGCAGAAAGTTAACATAGTGTAAAACTTATTTAAATCTAAATGTTATGTTTTTAGCAGATGGGGGGGGGGGGGGGGTGTATTCTCAGCAGAAGCTTATCTTATCTAAAGTTTAAAATAAGCAAACAAAATTGAATATGAAAATGAATAGAAATGGCGATGCAACTTGAATTGAGTGAATGTAAAGTGACAGAAACTCTGGTGTACATCATGTAAAGAAGTGAAAGGGAATGCTGACAAAGAGGCAGTGCAAGGAGGGCAGACAGTGACGGATAAACCAAAGGGATGTAGGGAAGGCAGCTCGTGGACATGTTGGAGGTGGTGGATCAGCCAAAGGCAGGCAGAGAGAGACAGGACACGGCAAAGCAAAAGCCGTATCCATATTGCATGAAATGGAGACATGCACAGCTCATCCAATGCCTCCCCGTCCAGAGGCTCCACGCTGCCTCCCAGGTGTTATGTTGAATTATCCACAACGCCAGTTTCGTTTGTACGTCTGACTTTCTTATCTCTGTCTCTCTCTTTCTCCAACTACCCATCCATCCATCCAGGGAACACCAACAGCGTGTTTGCCCTGGACTACATCAGCGGGGCCCTGACAGTGAATGGCCAGCTGGACAGAGAAAACCCTCTCTACTCAGCAGGATTCACGCTCACTGTTAAGGTGAGCTACTGAAGGGGACGCGGTGCACGGGGGGGTGGAGGGACTGTGGCAGCCGGGGGAAGGGATCGAAAGGCTGTTTTGCTGGTGGTTCAAGAGAGGGCTTTGATATGATAGTGTAGTAAATCAATGCAGTGTCTGGGTTTGCAGCACTTTGACTCAGCTCATACTATACCTATTTTGACAGTATTTGGCTATAATTAGAAAACATTTCAAGGTCAATACTTCAATTAAAACTGAGTGGATACAAGATGATACCATGTTTATTAATAGATGTTTCTGCATGTTTGTGATCCAGACATATTCAAGTACCTTTATTGGGTTGGTCAGTGAAGGTATTTGTGATTATGTCCCCATTTAGAGGCTGCTGTTCAGTGAAAATCCAGTAGCTGGGCAGGACAGGGGGAGCAGAGGAGGATAAGATAAAAGAACACGATTTACAGTCATCCGAACACTAAATGTTCTTTAGTTCCTCCGCTTCTTTTTTTTTAAACTTTTCTTCTGTTTGAAGCAGGTGCAATCTCTAAATCCCTCCACTGAGTCTAAAGTCTATATCACTTTATGTCACTCCTGCCCTCTCACTCCGCCCCCAACCTTCCTACCTTGAACATGCCACCACTTTCTCTTCTGTCACCAATTCTTCTCTTCCAGGATTGTACACCAAGTGGTACCCACAGGGTGAGAGGGTGCGTGAAATGGATTTCCAAGTGCATCTCAAAGTGGAAGGTTTTCCGATCAAAGACATACTTTTTCCAGTGTAACTGCAATGTTACACTGGGGATTTTGATGGCATGTCAAGTGAAACGGTTTGTCGCTATACAACACAGTACATGGCCTTTAGTACCCCCTAATAGCCTCACTAGCACTCATGTATTCAATCATGTAGCTGCGCAATTATTGTCCATAAAAAGCACGTTGTATGAGGTTTTTTTTATGTGAGAGACTCAACATTGAGATAAAACTAGCTCTAAGGTTTGATACAAAAAAGATGCTGGCTTACATATTCCAACCTCAGTCATCTTTTTCATTGAAATCAATAATTCCAAAGAAGAAAAAGAAGCATAAGCAAAAAGTGCTGAAAAGGAAAAAAAGGGTCGCCCAAAAAATGTATTTATAAGATATGGATTTTTCCCCTCCACATTTTCTCTGCCTCTCTCTGTTTGTGCGTTCTTAGGTGGTGTTGCTATTGATTGCGGTGTGCCATAGTAATACAACTAATTTCTCAACTTCAGGCAGCTTAGATAGTGCTGAGCGTGTGGAGGTGGAGGTCAAATGATTCACTGGCGTTGGAACGAGAGAGGCTAAACTACCTTGATTACCCAGAGACCACTATGTTGTTCCTGCCTCTTCTCCTATTGCTTGTGACACTATTCCATCAATAAAAGACCACGGCTGCCTATTCCTTTCTTTCTCTCCTATAGTTATTTTTTCTAGTAGTGTCTTCTCAATGGGACTTTTCTCCTAAATCTCATTGTATGTACGTGGATGTACATGTGCTGGCCCTCTCTTGGCCTCACTTTGAGCCTATTTCTGTGATTGCTTTGAGTCCACCCTTTGATCCAATAAATGAACAGCCGTAAATACCTGGCTGAAATTGTGTGCTGACCACCTCTATCCGAAATGACATTTTAGGGGCAATCAAATCTCTCCTTCTTCTCTCTAAGGCCACAGAGTTGAAAGAAGATCGCAGTCCATCAGATGCAACCGTGATGACCACCTTTACCATCCTGCTAATCGACAGGAACGACAACGCTCCGAAGTTCAACAGTTCTGAGTATCGGCTCCACATCACCGAGCTGGCCCAGGTGGGCTTTGCCCTTCCGCTCTTCATCCAGGCCGAAGACAAGGACGAGGTGGGTGGATAACATCTATTCTCTTATACAGATAAGGCTGCATGACACCAGGCTTTCTCTGCAGCTTACGATTGATAGAAAAATAGGTTTCAGCCTCAGTTCCCATAGCGATCCAAGAAGTAGTTTGGGGACCAATCCGGGGACATTTTGAAATCAGATCCTTTCTTAACTGTGCTCTGTCCATCCCTTTAGTGTGACACATTTCACTTTTACTTTCATCTAAATAAAAGGCATCGTGAATGTGGATAATTTAATATTGCAAGTACTGTGAATTCAGTCACAGAGGTTGGAAAACACTGGGCTCCTGTTATCGTAGCTGCCACCGGTTTGAATGATAAATGTAGCCGGCAGCAGTTATTGGAATTAATACTTATTCCATGAGTAACTTGACCAAAGGCCAAAATACAATACACTATGCAGCTTCGGCTGTTACAGATCAATTAAGGGGAAAACATTCAGACTTAACCACCACAATGTTTTCTAGTTTCAACAACACAGATGATACATCTTTCCTCTAGCTGATTATTTTGCGTCAATCTTCAGGAGTCTTCCCTTCATATCGCATCAATAATTTAGGATAATAAAGGTTCATTTAAAACTATGCCCTTCAGTATTTGCATCAAAATGCTCGTTAAAAAGGTGTTTCAGAGTAAGTTGGCTACACATGTTGTTTCAATGTAAACATTCAGGTAGATATAAGAATCTAATTGGAATCAATATTGCCAGATCAGTCCAGAAAATGCAAAATAATTGTATTTGATCGTATAAGTTCTTTCTACAAAGACAGCTACATGTGTGTGGTGGTGTTTTGTGTTTCCATTTTAAAGGTTTGGATTTATATTGCTTATAAAAACACCAGCGCCTATAAAAGTGTGTGTGTATGTGTGTGTGTGTGGTGTGTACACTGTCAGCAACAGTGTACGACAGCACGCTTTAGTGTGTCTGCCACTTTCCATTAGCTGTATCCATCAACGTACTTTGGTGACACACAGTCACACACACAGAACACAAACACTTTTTCACGTTGCCACTCTGTCTGTCTCCCTCACTTTCTCTCTCACATCTGCTCATGCTCGCTCACACCGGAGCATTGGACTCGACTACAATTTAATTTGCTCTGGAAGAGATGGGATAGAGCATCAAATTATACCTAACGAGGAAAATCAATCACCTAGGGTGCAGATAAGCCGAAAGCTAGTCAACTCTGATTGATTCAGGCACAGCAGCCGCCAGGGTGGAATTTGACAGATAACTGCAAGTCAAGTGGATAGAGAAAAAGGAGGAGAGACAGACACGGGGAGAGGAGAGGAACTTTAAGGAAAGCGGTTCGACAGAAAAGTAGCCTGCAATGGAGCAAAACCAAAAGTCTGAATAATTGCTGAAGCAGGAATAAATGGGAGAACAGCAGACAGGGGCGAAAAGGAAGCTCTTAAAGGAGAGATAGCAGGACTATTTAGCAACAAGTCTGTTTTATCCATTCTAAGAAAGGTGTGCTTTAATGACGAGACAGAGAGAGAGAGAAATGCTGCTGCACTCAGGTGGGGTGACGACCCACCCACCTGGCTTGTGTTAAGAGCTCCCTGTGGAGGTTACCGCCAGACGTTTTACCACTACCAAAATCAGCACTCAGTGTGCAACGTACCAAGCCGCTTAACATCAAAGTATCTCCGAGAACAGATTGCTCACTGCAAATTGGGAATAGCTATGTTAATTCAGAAATGGTTTTAACCATACTGACCACAGACACACAAAAACCAGTCCTTAAGCAGCCACAGCAAACTGCTTCTTGCTATCATATAACCAATCAGGACGAGCTCAAAGGAGATGATTGCACACAAAAATGTAAAATGCAGACTTTTAAAAAAAAAAGACTGCATTCCACCCGTTTTGCATTGCAGCACTGCAGTTCACCACAATGCCATACATACACGTTCCAGGTTGTAAAATCTATGAGACATTTTTTTTTCTCGCAGTATTGTATTGCTGTTTTGAGCCCTTAAACCTGCATGTCAGTGCCGATACACACACACACGTTCACACTCGGCTACACTTTTGCTTTAATCTCACCTTCTCCAAGTGTGAGGGATTACAGGCAGACGTTTCATTTCTTTGACTATGACACAAGTGGTAGTTACCTCTCTCCCTGTCCGCCGCTCCCTTCATATCCTCTTCTGCTCTGTTAGCATCCATACAACTTTTGCTGTTGGAACTTGTCACTAAACTTTGTGGCAGTCGCGTCTGACAGGGTGCTTTTATTGGGGGCTTCTAAAGGCAGAAGCAAATGGACGGGCAATTACGTTTATGGGCAGTTTGAGGTGACATCCCTGCATATTGGATGGTCTTTTAAATAGGAGTCATCAGCCACAATGGTTTTCCCAGAGATGAAAACAAAAACAAGGGGGCTATTTCAACCGCCAGCATAATGCCAATCGACCACCGCACTCGTCTTCCTCTGTCTGTCGCAATGGCTGCGTGATTGGCCGCCCTGCAGCTTGATATATAAAGACAGGCAGGCTCTAGAGAGGTTTTCTCAGCTCCAGACAGTCACAAGCTTCTCACGACTGTGATGTCATGTTGACCCCCACGATGCCTTTGCACTGCAAGGTTTTTTTAGAAGAAAAGGTTAACATTACAGGTCTTCTTTAGATGTTATTTATAATTTCATATTACCACGAATATGATAAAACTAGCCTTCCCTCATATAATGTAATATACGGCCATACAGCATCACTTTTTTTTTTTTCTTTAGATTTGATTTGATAAACTGTATTGTTCGTTCCCAATTTGCAGCATGCATGAATATAAGGCATTGCACATCAATTAAAAGTAATATTAAATAGGAAATTCCCAAATAGTAAATGTATACATATCAATAGTGCATATATCTATTGAATCAACACATAATATACATATTATTAACATTTAAGTTAGCAATTTGGTTTTCTATTTAGAAAAAAAGTTAGTCAAAGCATTCATATCCTTCCACATCTGCTCAGGTGAGCTGAATTATGAATATAATCAATTGTTTTGTTATAAGCATATGTAACCAATCTTTAATGACTATATATGGGCAGGTATTGTGCCGTCTTAAAATACTGTGGCACATGCATAAGAAATAGTAAAGAAAGGCTGAAGGAAGAAACATTTCTAAGTAGTGAAATTTAAGCATTGTTAAATAAACTTGAACATGGGATTGTGACAAGGAATTAAAAAAGCATCGACGAGCAATATGAAGCCAATGCATCTTAAAGCAAGAACATGAAAACAAGATGTGTTTTACTTATCATCCTTAAAGAGAGAAGAGCCAAAATAAAGAAACATTGATCAATCCAAAAAATGAATGGGTACTGACGAAAAAAGAACACAAATAAGAGGATATTCTTTTGTCCTTATATCGCTTCCTGCTTTAAGACACATTGTCTTTGTCAACATACAGTATTTTTAGGCTTGAAACCAAACATGGACCTATGCATCTGTATTGAGGCAGATAGTCATGGCTGTCACCAGGGATCTCATCATCGCTTTTTCTCTCATAAAACACACACGATGATGATTAAAGCACATGGTTTCGACCCTTTTCACTGGCTGGGTAATCAACCCAGTCGGATATGTGATCAGCGCTGTGGGCAGTGCATGGGGATTTACTCCATGTCGCACTCAAAGCCTCATTTACATAATGTGAAACGGTACAGTGCAGTCTTAATGTAGTGGAGACAGATAAATAATAATTCATATGAGGCTAGATGAACTTGTTATGGACTACTATTTGATTCCTGTGCTGTCTTACTTTGTCATATCCATTTTGTCACACATTTGATGGTTTCTGTTATTGACTTGTTCTCATTTTCCTGTGTACTGCTCCCCGGAAGAAACAGAGGGTTATTTGTTTAGCAACAACATTCTCTTACTAATGGGAACAGGCAACATATGGTATGGTGTAAACTGTATGCTTTACCAGCGTATATTCCAAAGGCAGAAGGCTCAAAAAGCTGAGGTGCCTAACAGGTAGAGTGCTAGGTGACTGTGGGAAATCGAGTGATGGGGGATGTATTGTGAAGAGATGCACTGATAGAAAAGAAACATCTTGAGCACAGCTGATTAGAGTGAATGGAGCCCGCTCCCCTGCTGAGGCTGCAGTTATCTTGTCTCTTAGCATCACAGCAGTGTACCACAGGACGCTGTAGTGTCCGCCACTTTCCATTAGTCGTATCCATCAATGTTGTTTGGTCACACACACACTCAGACACCAACACACAAAACAATACCCTTTTTCTTTACGCTTGCTCTGCCACTCTCTTTCAAAAAAGTCTCTCTTACATGTGCACATCTCTCTAAAACATTGTTTTCCCGAGCTCTTCTTTATCATATGGTGAGTTTTTAATATCAGGAAATAGTCGGGACACACTAGCATGACCTTTAACCTCTTGCTTGTAACCAACAACAGTCACCTAAATGCTTGATATCTTAAACTTATGTGTTGTATTTTGCTGGGATTAAGAATTTAATTGGATCAATCGTTACTTCAGAGAATGTTCCAAAACTTATGTGCAAGTAATGCTGGAGAAGTGAAATATATATAGGCTACATGTCAAATAGAATAAGATGAGCGGAAAACAGAATGTGAAATGAAATACTGTACAGTGAAAAATAATACTGCTTATTGTTAAAATAAATGAATATGTGAGATGCAAACAGATGAATGTCATGAACTTGTATTCAATATCTGTACCTTTCTGATACCTTTCTTTTATCAGGGAATAACTCAGATATTCTTCAGTATTTTGCACAAAGAATATATCAGCTCTCTTAACAAGCCCTTTTTCTTTCAATTTTTCCTACACTCACCTGTCTCTTGTTCTTTATGGCAGGGGGTGAACAGCATGTTCCAGGTGTTTCTGACAGGAAACAATTCAGAGTACTTCACCATCTCGCCCACGGCGGTGCAGGGGCGTGCTGACATCAGAATGAGGGTGGCCGTGCCGCTAGACTTCGAAAACATCCGCAGCTACAGCTTCTCAGTGAGTTTTAAAAGTACATGTTTTCAGAGAGAATGCTGGGGTGGACTCCATTCCCAGACTTTGACAAGAAACATTCCGTTTGAGACATAAATCCCCCACCACCAGCTTTCTAGCTTATGTTTCTAAGAGTTGTAGCTTATCAATGTAAATGTATAACGGATGAGTTTTGTAAAGAGAAGTGAAGAGGAATATGAGAAGACAACATTCAAGCATTAACTGTTTTAGTCGGCGACAAAGCAGATCCATTGTCTTTCTGTCAGAGTGCCCTTTAATGAAAGACTGAATGTAGTTTCCATTTTTTTTATTTGTTTGGACAAAGACTGGGGCCATATCAAATTCACATCACTGCAGACTTGTTTGAACAGTGACATTTGTATTTTATTACCTCAATTTCCCCGAGTGGTTTTCAGAAGGGGGTGCCCTGCTCTGTGTGTGATTTAAAATCTACAAATCTTAAACAAATCAGTGACTTATTTGTCGCCACAGCATTATGATCAGAATCGTTTCCGATAATGCCCCCAACATTTTTTATTGTATTGAAATATTTCATATAAACGTGTCTTAAATCTGTGCATTTTGAGTTGAATATCTAAGAAGTTTTGTTAATTTTGTATTATACTCCTTGTTGTCTCTCCTCAGCTTTTCGCCAATGAGTCCATGTCCGACCATGTGGGTTTTGCTCGTATCTTTATTGAACTGATCAATGAGAACGACAACCGTCCCATCTTCAGTAAGCCGTTGTACAACATCAGCCTCCCTGAAAACACCCCCCCTGGAACCTCACTGCTGCGGATCCTGGTAAGTGTCTTTGAGAAAAACACTCAGTGGAGCTTTGATTTGTTCCTGGAGAGATATTTAACTGGAATCCAAATACATTTCCAATAAAACTGGCTGGTACTAGTAACTTTTTATGGGGCTTGTTTTATTGGGAATGAAATCTTGGCTTGTTTGTTACGCCATGTGACCCAGTGCTATCCGGAGATTTCATCATATGAGTTGTGATTTATGGTGACACCAGCTAGGCCGCCTCAGAGAAAATGAGGAATAAATACCGATGAAAAACTCCGTCACCAACTGCACCGTGTAACTGTTAGCTAATGCTGGGATCCTGCGCATTTGGGACACTGAATTACCATGTTGGCAACTAAAGCATATTTTAGACTTTAAAGACAATCTGTGGCTCAACTGTGTCTCGGTCTCTTCTGAATAATTATGCAAATTCACTGAACAGCAGAGTTAAATATTTACTGCCAATACAAGAGTGAGTTCCACTTAGGTGTTAAAGGTTAAATGATCCACAAAATAGTCAAAACGTCCTCAATTCAAGCTAAATTACTTCATTCTTCATGAAGTAATTTATTCATCATTTAAAGGAAGTGTAATTGCTTTCTGTGTATGTAAGTAAAGAGAATAAGAGGATTTAAATGATTACCTCAAAAGGCTGCTTTTAACTTGGACATAAAGTATTCAACAATTTGACTCATTCACTTAATAACTATTTACTAAAAATTATATTTAAGAAATATATGTTAGGACTGGAACACTTTTATTAGAGTAACTTAAAAAATCTCTTTGTTTTCATTTTTGAATTAATGTTACAGATGTCGATAATAATATCAGGACAACCTCCATTAAAACTGATCCCATTAGAAAAGTGCTAAATAATTATATTCAAACTTTTGTTATTATTAATTCCCTCCAGGTCTGTTATTGTACCTTGTGTTTCACAGTTGAACTGTCTTTGAGCCCCCCCTAAATATCTCCCTATAATTCTGCATAAATATTCATTACCAGCCATTCCTGTGATAGAACTCCCACAATCCACTAGATACAAGTGCAAAAAGCAAAGTGTGAAAATCAATAGTGTTTATAGACTGGCTGCTCATGAAACGGAGATTGCAGGGCAGTCTAATACCCGATAAGTCTGGCTGATGTTGGCCTTGTGCTGGAGCGCGCAGCCCACTGTGGAATCCTGATTGCTGGCTGTAGAGGGTGAATAGGCTGTAAATAGAATGAGATGTGACGCCTCTCGGTGAGGGCTGCACTGACATGGATGGCAGCACAAATATATATACACATACTGTTCGATGAAGGTTTAGATATTATCATCCATGCACAAACACACAACAGAAGCAATAAAGCCCTTGGAGACAAAAGACACAGAGACAAAACAGAGGTTTCCCTTACTGAGCTAGCTTTTCTAAGAAAAATACAATTAGACACACAGCCTCAATATTACATCCACAACAATCTCAAGGTCAACACATGTCAAATATATTTGATATTGTAGGCCTTACTCCATAAGATTACCATTTGCTATGTATGTGTTGTTGTTTGTGTTCAATAATATGTTTGGACAGACTTGTTTATTCTTGTGGGTTTGTCATAATTGAGTTCATTAGTAATTTAGACGGCACGTTACAACGGTTGTAATCCATTGGAAATAGCAGAGACTGTTTATTTATATGCTGCAGTCTGATCAAACAAGCCACGACCGCCTCACTCGTGTTTGTGCTAATAATTAGGTATTTATTTTAGAATGGACATTGCATCTTATTGTGTAAAATAACCCGTAATGTAAAGAACAGAACAAATCCATCAAACTGCTGTTTTTCAGATTGTGCTGGCAGAAGTAGAAACCGTATATATGTTTGAATTATACAGTATGTATTTTAAAGTATAAAGTTCAGAAAAGTAATGAGCCTCGTGCAAGAGCACTTTTCCACCCACTTCTCCCACTAAGCACCAGGTTAAATAATACTTAACCTGTCCATCACCCCACTGTTAAGTACAGAGTATGATGCTGTGCCCAAGTGCAGAAAAGCATTTGGAGTAGAAGTGTTAATTATGACAAAATGAATATGTTGCCCCTAACTCTTACTACTTTTAAATCCAGGCTCAAGACTTTTCTTTTTGCCGCTGCTTTTAATTGAACTATTCATACAGTATCTTAAACTGCACTGTAACTTTTATCCTTGTATTTTTTCTTTTAATGGTTATTTTATTATCTTTGCTTTTTAATGACTGTTTTTAAATGCCATTTTTTGTATGTCTTTCATTGTTGTAAAGCACTTCTAATTGCCTTGTGTTGAAAGGTGCTATATACATAAACTTGCCTTGCCTTGCCTAACAACAGGTCCTTTGTTGCACAACTTGAATTACATTTGCACTTAACTCAAGCTGATTCATTACATTCTGAACTTCATATTGCAGCTCCATTGAAACTGTACTGGGCTTTTAAGTGCTGGCCCCTTTCATGTTCTGATTCTCTGTGCACCTGTCTCTCTCATTCTCCTGCAGCAGTTCAAACTGTCTGCTTGTTTAAGTGCAGTGAACGACTCAAGGCTTGACAATATAACCTGATTGTTGGACTGAAACTTGCCTCCCGGTGCTCCTCTCGGATGGCTGTGAGGTGCAACAGATGGTGGCCAAATTATGTTTTAGCACCAAACAGGATAAGAGCGGTTTTATTGTGAATCTCTCAAGGTGGCCTGGCCAAATCTCAATTCACAAATGAATGCATTGAAATACTAATGATACATTTCTGGGAAACATTCTTATTTGCTTTTCTTGCTGAGTTGAAATAGAATATTGATACCAGTCACATCACCCTCATGCAATAAGCAACAGACATGGGCTAATAATAATAATAATATTAATTTCAATTTTTATAGCGCCTTTCAAGAAACCCAAGGACGCTTTACAATGGGAAACAAAACAACAAAATAATAATAGTCACACAGATACACAGGTTGAAAAAGAACAGGTTGCTGGGTACTGCATTTTAGCTGAGGCCAAAGGCCTGAGTGAACAGATGTTGTTTGAGTTGTTGTTTGAAGTGTCCAGAGAGTCGGCATTCCTGATTGCAGAGGGAGAAATTTCCAGAGGGGTGGGGCTCGACACTGAATGCTCTGATTGCAAAGTTTCCAGCTTGGAGCTCTGGGATGGAGAGCAGCCCGTTGGGCGGGGACCGCCAGCTGACGAGAGGGGGGTGTTAGGCTTGAAGGAGTCCAGCTAGTATGCAGGGCTAGGGAGTGGAGAGATTGGTAGTTAGCAGGAGAGTTATACTGGGATGCGTGACTTGACTGGAGCAGGTGAAGTGGATGAGGGTGGGGTGAAGTTTTGCCAGGGCTTAGTGCGGGTGAGGGCCTGGCTGCAGAGTCGGACGTACTGGAGCTGTCA